ATGAAATACAACTCAAACTTTAAAAACAGAGCAGTTAGTACAACCAGCCAATAAAACCAGGGGATCATGATTCGTTTACACAAGACAGTTCTACCTCTTAATGCTGGTTAGACTCATCATCTGCACTTGTGCTCTAGCAGCTTGTTCCTGAGCTTAGACCAGACAGACATGCTTGAGAGGTGCAGTACTTTAGCTCTTCACAGAGACTGAACACCACCAGTCCCAAATACTAAATTCAATTCTTCAGCCAGCACTAAACCATTCTAGAAAAATATCACTGCCATATTCCACTAAGTTTGTTACCTGAGAACTCCTACAGTCACTAAGAGTGATCCTCTCCTCACTGTTGTTCTGAGACACAAAATCTAGAACCTTATGAAGAGATCTGGACCTTTTACTCCAACAAAAGCATTCCAAACCTTTCAATAGGAAAAAGAATTTTTAAAATGGTTATATTGAATAGATCCTTCAATTACTGAGGTATCTGTGAATTAATTTTCAGCATTCACTGTCAGAGCAGAATTAACACTATGACAAGTAATCTGCAAAGCTTGTTTTAGCAAGAGTATCCTTCCCCAGAGAATTAACAGCTTCACACTGAACAGTGATCTTTGCCAGGAAGAAGGGATTATAGACTCACATTAAGTTCTCTATGTAAGGTTGCAAATTGCAGTTCCTCCTTTAGATCTCAAAAGGATTAGAGCTGCACATTCAGTAGAAAGTTCTGTTCTAGAACATTCTCTAGAGAACTCAAATAACCCCACAAAACAAAACCAAAACAAATGGAACCAACACTTTCCCCTCCACCCATGACTCATGACTGAACAGTTTCATTTTTGACTTGCATCAAAGACTGTAAGATAAGAAGTGCTGAGGCTTACCTGGCCAGAGAGGAAAAAACCAAAACAGGCTTGACTTACAAACAAGCCCAGCTTCTCTTCTCCTCAGCATACATGAAACTGCCATACTCAGTGCCTACCAATGCTTTCTAAGAGATCACCTCTTAGGCAGCTCTTCAAAACACAGGTGACAGCTTAATTTTTGCATTCCCTCTAATGAAACATGAGATCACATCTGAGCCTAAACTTGAGTCAGAATTCCCATCCCTGATAAAACTAAAGGCATTTTGAAATTCTGTCTCCACGACCCTGGTCTGCCAAAGCAGCTGGAGCAAAGCCAGCTGCCCAGCTCTACAGCTAGCATTCCACCCATGAGGATAACCTTGTATCACCACCTTCTAAGCAACTGTTCTTACTCTGCAGGTTATGTCTGTGATGGGACAATGCAGAGTTCATATGAAAATTAATGACGTTTAGGCAAAAACCAGAATTACCTAATCTGCCAAACCTAGGACTCGTAAGTACTCAGAGCTTGAGAGTATTTCTGCTTCAAGCTCCTGAAGAGGGAACCAATCTCAGCATTTAAAGAGAGGAGTCTGCCCTTCCAGAGCACAGGAACAACCCCAGAGATCAAAGATGAGTATTAAAAGCTGTTGAAAACCAATATATTCTGTTCAACTGTGTGTCCTGATAAAGCTTTGTCCCACCATGAATAAAAATCCTTCACTGTTCAAAGATACTGAAAGTCTCACCAATACTTCTAATGCATAGGCAAAAATATCCCAAACAAACAAAAAAACTATTTTGGGCAAACAAGGATGTTTATCCTTTTTTTTCTTTTGTTTACCAGAGAAATTTTCAAGTATTAATTTACACAGAGCTATACTATCAAATTCACTGTTTCACTTCTGGCACCTATCACTGTGAAGATTATGCCTGCCACCTCTTCTAACCTACCCAAGGCACACAGATGCTCTAGAAATAGTTACAGCTCTTACTCCTGCTTATCTGGAAGCTGCTGAACTCTTCCCCCACAACTGGTTGACATTAAACCAACCACTGCAGTACAGAAAAAAGACACTGACAGCTTTGAACTATCCCTGCAGAAGACCGAGTGCGAAATGCACTGCAGACCAAAGTTACTGCAGAATTTACTGCTGCATTAACCAAGAATGCGAAGTCAGTTTACAGGCATCAGCTAAACCATCACAAACATCAATTTAGGAACTGTTCTACACTACACACACCTGGAAGAGCTTGTCTGTCTGCACTCTGGTTTTCCAGTTGAGGGTTATTCTGAATTGCTATTCTTTGTCAGACTGAAATGGACACTTAAAATTATAATTTATCAACTATCATATTCCAGATTATTTTGAAACCAGCTGCTTTTGTACTAGAATGCATTAATTGACAGCAGACCATTTTCACTTCACAGTAATACAGGCAGCTTTTACCTTTACCTTCTGTACCTCTCCTTGATATATTTATGCAGGTTTTTTCCTGTGTTCCCATGCATTCTCTGCATTAGTCCTGCACTGTTGCCAAAATACAAGCCCCAGCCTTATACATGAAGTATTTTAGCCACAGCTCAATCTGCTTTTTAAAATATGCAATTGCCTATAATGATATGAATCCAACTGTTCTCCAATTTGTACCTACTTTATATTTGTATTGAAGGTGTGGGGGGGAAATACCATCCATTCAATGACACCAAGAACCAAAGACCAGAAAGCAGATAAATCCAATCAGTATTTTTTTTTTCACATTTGAAGGAATTAGTATAGTTTGTCTTCTAGTAAAATAACCTTCATACCATAAGATCCTTTATTGATCATGCATTATCTCATTCCATTCTTCTAGTGCTAATTTCTTTAATTGAACTAAAGAGGGTTTTGTCTTAGTCTCGTTTTCATGTATGAAACTATAAACAAATCAGGGGAAAACAACTACCTTAATGTTTTGGTTTTTGACAGCTATAAACACAGCAAGAAATCTTCAGTTTAATTCCAGCTATGCTGTAAGCTTTACTAGGGATATGCAGACTGAAGACTTCTGAATCACCAGCCACATTTGATGGGCCCAAGGTATCTGCTTCAGATGGTAATGCCTGTTAAAACACTATTTTTTAAAGCCATGAAGAGTTTGAAATAAAATTACTAGAGAGAAAAATTGAAGGGGGGCAGCAAAAAATACAATGGAGTTATTTAGAACATTTCTGGCTGTATTTAAACCCTCATGTTACCTGCTGGTTAATGCAAACTTCTGCATAAACAACTATCCAATCTAAAAGGACCAGTACATATTCAGTACATCTGAATATCCATCTACTAACTGGTTGTCTTTTTATCACTTGCCAGACTTTAGTCCCATGCCTCCAAAGCAACCAAAGCTTGCTGCTGTGTTCTGTTTAAAACCAGGTTTTTCAGAAAAAGCATCTGTTATCTTCATATAAAACTATGGCACAGTGCAACTGAGTAGAACGTTTTTACTCAAGCATGCAAAAACGTGTGTATATTCATTTAGTAAGAAATACAGATGCTGTGTGCATCAGAAGACAGAAAAACCAGAAAAATCCCTAGCCAATGCTACAGATCAAGTTTTTCCTGCATCCTGAAAAGATTTTTTGGTGCTTAAAACCACTCAAAGTTTTTCCAAGTGAAACGTAAAAAGCTGATTGCGATTGCATTGTTAAATTCAAACCCCAATTCAACACAGCAAGCAGTCTTTAAAAAATTACTGCAGAAAGAACACTGTAGTTTCTTTCCCTGTTATATGTCTTGGCTTGACATTTTGTTCTCTATACTTGCTCTGAAGTCTTTGAAATAGATTTTGTTTAATCCAAATTTTCTAGCATGAAGCTGACCCCACTGAAGCTATTACAGCATTTATCGTGACAAAAAAAAAATATTCTACCACAGCAGAACAGGAAAAGTCACATTTCCAAACCCTTCACTTTTTACATTAAGTTCAAATGGAAAATTTTCCACCCTCCCTATGTTTCAAAGGAACCAAAATCCACTGTGTAGTTTTTAGACTACCTGTGGTTTTGGTAGGTACTCACTGAGGCAATCACCAATTAAGCTTTTTTTTTGCTAAGTCTTAGAATTCTTCTTCACCATGTCCGTATTAGCTCCCATCTCCCAGCTCCTCCCCTTGCCCCCCTGCTTGAAGAGGAAGCCCAAATGTAACTTTTGTACAAGAAGCCTGCACCAGACAGGACTGAGTCTGCTTTAAGGACAAAACACCTCCCATTTCCCACTTTGGACCTTCAGCATACATCTAGAACTTCTACAATCCACCCTCATTCTTTCATCAAAGTATACATTTGTTAATTACTAAAAATTATTACCTTGGGAACATGACAGATGCAAAAAATAAACAGGTACTGGTCCAAACAAGACTTCTATCTTCCATGTAATCTTTTAGTATTTCCTTCTTCCCTGACCCTTCATAATGCACACCTCCTTGTGTTCTCTAACACCCGCTGCCTTACACCTCACAAAGCATCTTCCTAGTTGATCATGTAAGTGATTTCAGTGGCTGTGACTCCCAGGACAAAGTAATAAGCATCAAATTAAGCTAAGCATAAAAAAAAAAATTGAGACCAGCACATTTTAAAGCTTAAAATACAAACTTTTAACTCAGTTGTAATGCTACTGGCATCTGTATTCCAATTTTCCAGCAAAATTATGTAAGCTGGTTAGCAGAAATGAACTGCAACTTCACCAAGAGATTTCAGAAAGTCATCATTGAAGCATGTACTGCTAAAGAGAGCCCAGGTTTCTAAATTCCAAGCCAACTGAACTTGAACATTTCAAGTTCAATCTCACAGTTTAGAACCAGAACAAACCATGTCCAAACTACATGTTCAAATTTTTATAAAAATTAAGGTTTAACATTTATTTTACATCTAGCTTTCCACATCCATGTGGGGACAAGGAATCAGAATGTACATAACTATAAGCAGTGCAAAAGTGGTGCCAGTGAGAAGTCACAGATGCACAATAAAGTGATAGTACAAGACTAGAGAAAATGAAGCTATGGATGTTAAGAATGGAGACCAAAAAATTAAACAAGGAAAAATATGAAGAGGGGAGGAAAGAGTCAGATGTTTAATAATGCCCTTGTTGCTGAAAGATAAACTAATGGCACAAGACAATGTTTCTTGTAGAACAAAAATCCAATAGCAATGAGTCTTTATTCACGTTTAGTCACCTGACATGAAGAAAGTGTCTGTTGCATTAAAATAGTCATCAATGTAAATGGCAGCATGGCTGAACAAGTCCTTTTCAATGGTAACGAACATCCCACATAGTAAAGTCACTTCAACACAGCCTCATGACAATTCCCACATCAAAACAGTACTTTATTTTATAATTTTTTTGCCTCATCATTACCCCCACATTAAGATCTTTCAGTTGTCAAGTGTACAAGTTGAAGAAAAAGGTTCTCAGTCAGCAAACACAGGTGCATCAGGAAGTATCTCCACAATACACCACTTCAGATCTGCTGGGTCCCAAGTCCATCCTTGAACGCTGGGCTCCCAGCACCAAGTGCAGCCCCCTACTACGGCTACACGACTATGTTAGCTTATTAATTCTGCATCCACCAGGCCGAGCAATGTGCCAACCTGCAACAGACTGAGCATTAGAACTGAAAATGGCAGAAGAGTCACTCTATTGAACTTTACATCATTATTTGATGTTAAACAACGAGGCAAATGCCAACAGTATATACAAAAACCAGCTTTGCTTTTACAAAAGATTTTGTTTCCCATATTGATTAATCCAGGCAGCTAACTCATTGGTTTATGCAACTTTATTGAAGAAAATAAATCAATTACTAGTAGAGCTATTAGTTGATCACTCATCCATTGACAACTTGCATCATTTATTCAGTGCTATATTAAACAGTGTTTTGGAAGACAGATTAACTAATAGCTCCAAGCCTCCTAACAAAATTTAAATGAATTACAAAAATGTTCTTAAACCCTATTCTGGAATACAAGGGATGTTTGACTTCCAATTTCCATTCTCTGTAAAACAAGAACTGGTCATTCCTTTATTGACATGCATAAGATACATCACATTTTCTGTTCTGCTGATGCTATAGATTCAGTACCAATTCTCCAGACACATCAGTTATGAGCAAAAATATATAATAAAACCTCAGTTCTCTAACACTGGAAGGTTTGGAACAAGATGGATGTTGCTACAGCAATGTTACTTCTTTGATGGGAGAAAACTGAACATCCATCTCCCCTCCCCCCTTCTGGTGGTATCTTCAGTATCTGTTAGAGCAGTGAGGAATGTTTATTTAGTTTTTAATCTCATAACCAAGTTAGAATGAAGACATTGGCCACATAATACACATGCTCCATTAAAAAAAAATTCTGAATCTTGGGCAATTGTTCTTGTGTAACTACTTTACAGATTCTAAAAGCAGTTATTGTCCAAAGCTGGAAGAACTAAAGTCTTCTCAGATGAGCATGTGCATGAATGGAAGGAGGTAAACAAAAAAATAAAAAAGATGAGGTCTGATAGGGGAGCAGCCGGATAAGAAAATCAAAAAAGGAACAGTAATTTAAAGTTTATTCCAGCTATAATGCAGGTTATTCTGACTTTAAGGTAGCATCACATGGCATACTTCTGAGTCCATTCCCGAGATATTCTGTTGTACCTGCAGACAAAACCAGGAATTGAATTAACATCAGCATGAAAATGACAATTTCCCAAACAGTTTATGATTGAATTATTTTATTCCCATCTCTCTGTTCTCTTTACAATGTGATAAGTCTCTTTCTGCACCAAGACATACTTGAACTCAAAAAACAGAACAATTCCCTCCCTACACCAATTAGGATAGATATTCTCTAGTTTTTAGGAAAAGGCTTGAAGTCAAGACAAGCAAATTTGCTAGAAGTCTGTTATGAAAAAAAATGACTGAAAGAAAAGAAACAGAGACTATCTGGAATGGAATAAATAAGGCAAGTATTTCATTTGAATATTGTTCTTAGCTTAAGATTACATTATGTATCCCATGCTGTAAGTAAAGATTATTTGGTTAATAATGTCACTGGATACAAAATGTCAAATTTCCAATTTTAAAGAAAAACAACACTAGCATTTCATTACACTGAATATTCTTTTCACACAAATATACTGTTCAAAATTTTAAGACTATTTAAAGTACACTACTTCCACAGGAACTGAAATGACAATTAGTTAACTCCATGCTTGTCAGTAAGAAGTTAATAACAAGCAGATCATAATTCCCATACATTTCCGAGTTTATATGTGGAAGACAGACACAGCTGATTAAAGATAACTGAAATTTGGATTGTCTGAATTCACTCATGTCGATATATGAGGTCTCGCATCACTCTGAACCAAATTCTGACAAAATCTGGGTGAAATACTTACCAGAACAAACTGACAACGTGGCTCAGAACTCAGTAATTACTTCATACTAACTTTTTTTTTTTGACCATGCAAGAGTAGTATCTGTGAGAAATAATGACTAGCCAATACATTACACACTAACCACAGATCAAGCTGTTAAATTTCCACGTTCAGTAACTGGTGCATCCGTTATCTGTTAGTTAATCCAGTGCCTTAGAGCATGCAGCACCCAAGTGCTGACAGATTTCCATTTTGTTAAATGCACCATAATTTGCAAACAGTCTTACCCTACAGCATAGCGTATTTCTCTGTCCACTCTCTTGCTAACCTATTGTACCTAATTGGATAAATATATTTAGCATTAATATATATAAAACCCCCAAAATCTGCTTCATATAATTCTATCTGTGCAAAATGTTAAAGATACCTAAGGAAAATAAAGTTGCTACAACACAGATGGGGAAGAAAGTTCTGCTGCCCATTTTCAAGGGAAGAACCAAAATTTAAGGCCAAGCTGCTGCCTAGCGAAGACATGAAAACAACAAAAAGCTGCCTTTTCCTCATTAGGAAGTTCTAACTAGATTTATGCAGGTTAAGCAAAAAAAAAGGCAATATATATATACTGTAAAATACTTCCACACACGTGAGAAAAAGGTAAGTCTCTTTCACCCATAAACTTCAAAGATGCTAAGCTCCTTTGTTTTTAAATTATGCGCTACTCACTTCTTTGACACACAAGTTTTCTCCATCTCAGACCTTCACAAAAGGCTCAATGAACACAACTGCTGTCTGACAATGAACTCTTACAGTCTGTTAAAACACCAGTCTTGCACAATTCTCTACTTACTTGTCTCTGTCTGTTTTATAGATACGTGCAATCTCTGGCACTAGTGGGTCATCTGGATTTGGATCACATAACAGTGAACAAATGGATAAGAGAACTGTAAAAAAAAAAAAAAGCAATCTCAATAGCGAAAGAGGAATGGCAATCTCAGAAACAGTGGAGCACTGATCTTTATATTACCACAATGTTGCCACAGGACACAACCTAGAAAGTGTTTTCCAGATAAACAGCCAATATAAATTCATAACTCATTCTTAAGTAAAAAGCCCAGACTAACTTAAAGGTTTCTAAGAACTATTTCCTTCCTATTTCCCAATACTTACAGCTGTCAGTACACACATGAGAACAGCACTGTTGTCCCCAGCACTATGATGCAACATGGCAGCCAACAAAAGCACATTATGTACTCTGATGAACAGCATATCCATGGTTCTTATCACTAAAAGTAGAAAATCCTCAAATTTAAGTTTTTAGTTTTTAAATCAGACTGAATTCTGTATTTCTTGTACATAAGGGAAGAATATCCTGGTCTGCACTGATAAAACTACATATATGTTGTAAAAACTCAGTAACACTGTTGTAGGCAACTATGAGGACTTCATAATCTACTCTCAGAAAAACTTTAGAAGAAAACAGTGAAGCATTAAAATGTAGGGAATCCACATTCAAATAACAAACTGACTGTTTGGACAGACAGGAATTACAAGTTCTATAGACAAAAGGGCACTTTGAGGGATCTTTTGAAGCCACAGTGACCAGTGGCTTTGAGGCAAAACAATTAGATCATCATGAAAATATTTGAGAATTATCTATTATTTATGTAGTAAAATGAGGAAAGCCACAAATCTTCTCTTGCAACACAACATCAATTTATCATGGAGTAGGATCAGTAAACTTAGTTCATTAAGTAATGCAATGCAATGCCACTGCACCGTGGTAGAAAGCAGTATCAGTAACAACAGATTTATTCATCTACCACAGATATGCCAATAGAACTATGCATGTAACTCTAGGCAGGATGAAAAATTATGCAAATTTCAATATTAAAAACTGACTTGAAATTGATCTTTCATTCAATATGCACGTGTATCTACATGGGCAGCTCCAAACAAGCCGTTTCTTAGCCTTAGCTTGAACACCCCAACACAGGCCTAGTTCAATCCAAATACCAGCAAATTCCTCTGGGCCCAAGCTGGTAAACTCTGCTGGGAATACTGAAGCAAGTACATGGCCAGACAAGGCCTTAAACAGCCACATAGGAGAAAGTGCTAGAAAAAAAATTCCATTAAAATGCAGTATCATCAAACTGGCAAAACATAAGCTTGAATGAGGAAGGTAAGTTAAGGGAAAATTAAAGAGATGGGTAAGAACTTAACACAATCAAAGCTAAAAGTACAGTATTCAGCACAAGATGGAAAAATTTCTCCTTCAGAAAAGTTACCTTTAGAAATAGTTAAAGCAGGAGACCACTGTGATCTTAGAATATCAAGACAAATGCTGCCATTACTGTTAATATTTGGATGATAGATTCTTGTTGTAAATGCAACCTGCAACAAAAAACAAAGAAATGAAGAGTGCATTTGGGACTATGACAACAACTGCACCCATTTTGCTCAGTCAAGCTATCAGTCAATTCCATTTACTCTAAAAGAAAAGGATTAAGCAGTTAAACTGCATCAAATTCAGGAAAATGCACCCAAGCCACAAGCTCAGAGTCTCCCACTACCAGGCACTACTTCCAACAGAGAGAGGGCATGTATGAGTGTTTTAATCCCAGCTGCCTTTGATGAAGACACCCAACAGCAGTGCCTAAACAACAGTAACACTGCTGCCACACAGCTAAGGAACTTCCAGCACTGCGTGACTCCAAGGGTAGGCCTTCATATTGACTGAAAATTGGAAGACCAAGCTAGTGGCTGATAAAGCTACCAAAAAAGAGCCTATTTTGCAGTTACTGCCAAACGCTTAACAAATAACCCCTTCACTTGATTTCAGGCACTCAGCAAGTAAATCCCTACCCACAGTGTCACATTCCTACAGACCAATCCAAACAGCTACATTAATACTTGACAGTCCCCTCAGCAAGAATTCTATTATAGTAACACAAAGCTAATGAAGTTTTCCTATCAATTCAGAAAACCAGAAATTAACCCAAGTATTTTAAGACATTTGGAATTTGCACATATGGATTTACTCATAAAGAATATGCTAACACACCCAATTCCTCTGGTAATCAGAATGGGACCCACACATCTAATAGATGGTAAGAATGCCTGAAAAGAAATGAGAACTTGACAATACTACAATACAGAGGCTGGCAATTTCTGTCCTGTACTCAGTTCTTTAAAAAGCACTAATTTCACAAATGACACAGCAATACTTACCTTAGGTGGTTTGAATGGGTAGTCTGTGGGAAAGTGAATTGTCAAGAAGAATACACCACCCTGATATGGACTGTCGTTCTGTCAAAGCAAACAAATTCTCCTATTATCATCTTTAGGACTAAGTATCACTGAAGATCTTGTTTTTAAATAAATGGAAATTAGTTTAACCGAAAATGTTTAACCCACCAATACAAGTGAGACATAATTAAAATTCAATTCTTACTTCCTAAGCTAAGTAATACAGAACATAGACACGTCACTTTCTGTGTGGATCTCTCCAAGCTAATGCATCATAAAACCCAGCAGCTCTGACAATCCACTCAGGACTACAGGGCAGAAGGATTCAAATGCTTCTAAGACAGCGCCAAGAAGAAATGTTAACAGAGTGGGGGTCCCATCAGATTCAAAAAACTCCAGTTCTGTGTTTGGTGCTTACTTGTTGTGACCACCCAAGTTTAGAGTGGCCATGGACTCTCATTCTCTCCTAAATTCTGTCCTTAGTTTCAGCCCTGCAGAAAACCTGTGAGTACACAGCTAGATCCCTGTTCCTTGAAAAAAACCCCCAAAAGACCCCAACAAAAGTCTCACCCATCCTACCAGCACAACCAAACAGACAAAAGAATAATCATCATTTGAGTGAATTTTTCCTCTCATTCTGTATTAGAAATACACTGCAATCTACTATGAGAGAGTATTTCACATTTCCCTGCTCCAAGGAAAGAATTACTGGGATAACCCATTCAAGTGTCAACTATAAGCAGTAAAGCAACATGTGGAAGTAAAAAAGATGATAGTTAGAAGGAAAAACTGGAGTGACTAAATGGGGATTGTGTAAGTTAGTAGTTACAAGAAGAAAGAAGCAAAAAGGTTTTTAACTCAGAATTAGAACTAAATTTCTGAAACAGAGCTAACAACTTCATTGTTTAACCTGAAGAATACTTTGCTGTTAATTCTGGACTCAGGGCTAGGGAAAATTAATTTGAGGAATACACAGTACACTTCTGCATTATTTGTAAATTGAATTCTCCTCTTAACTGCAAAAACATTTCACCAGTGTAACGAAATAACTATGTATAACTTAAATACCAGAGAATGAAAATCTGGACCACAAGACAGGGGACTCAAACCCTCAACATGTAGATTACACCCTATCCTGTCTCTGATGAAATCTAGTGATCAAGATGTAACTTCTTCTATTTGGTCAATACATATCATATGAGGCCTTAAGGAGCCAAAAAATACCAACCCTTTGGCTGTACATATTCTGGGGATACATTTTATCAATTACAGAAACTCCTCTTTAAAATGTGTTAAACTAAAGCACACTCTCACACACCTGTTCAGGAAAATCACAATATCCTATTGCAGAGGTGAAGACCAGACTACTGGTTCTTCAATCCCTGTCTGTTATTAAAGGCAGCACCAGAACTACTAACACCACACTGGCACTTCTGTCAGGATACTGCCCGATCTGGAAACAGGAACGCAGACCTTCTGACACCACGAAAACCACACGGTGAAAAAAGGAGCTGTACATTATTAAACCACAAGGGAAAACTAAAAATAACAATCCCAATTTAAATTCAACCAGTGCTTAATACCTCGTGACCACGCAGACACCAGGCACACAGAATCATCATATCCAGTGTGGTGCACAACACTCCTTGCCATGTAAGTATGAATATAGCTATTGAACAATTCTATCTTTTTGAGGTACCTAGTTACAATCAATGATGAGCAGGTACTTTGGGATGAAGAGACATTTTTCAGTCCAGCAAACCTCTAATAGCCACCTCCTCATAACACACTTGTAGCTATATATACAGCCAGGGTAATTCAGCATCACTGATATTTAATGCCTACTTTGTAGCCTCACCAAAGGCTTGTCTTCACAAATTACAGGTTTTGACTTTTAAATACCGGTAACCAGAAGACTCCAGATATGAACTGCTTCCAGGATGCTTTCAACAAAAGCAAACATTTGGCTTCCTTAATGAGGAAAAAGTCCCATTCAGGTTTCAGATGCTTACTGAACATTCAACACTGACTTTTTTTTCCTGTCATAACTGAAACCTCACATTTCAGTGATTATTCCCTCTTCTATTCTTTCAAGTATTCAAGATCTCAGCATTACACCAGAGCAAATATGGATTCCCTTCTAAGATCCACACAAAAACATCCCAACTAATTCCTGACAGTAGTACCAGGTCCTACTACAAAGTTCATGCTAGATTAAAACTTTAGAAAAAGTTAAATGCAAACAAAGTTTCTACATTGCTCTAGAGATTATTTCAGCTGAAATACACATCCTCGTAAAAACACCGTAACAACAAAATAACTGATGGTTTTTTTCCCCTCCCTCATTTTCCTTTACTGTAATGAAGACCTCTAGAACTAAAGTCAGATAAGAGAAGCTAACAAAAGTAAACCAAAACCCCAGAGTTTTCTCCTCAGTAAGAACTACTCATTTAATATTACATCACAAGAATCGGAATACTTACGGGTCCCATAATTGTGGCTTGCCAATGAAACACTACAAAAGAAAAACTCCGCATTATTATCTAGGCATGATATGCTTTGAGTCAGCAGAACAAAACATAAAACTTAAAGTCACTTACTGTCATCTCCAACGGGACCTGCTGAACACTGTGCTGGAGGATCACGGGCTAAGTCACTAAGTTCCTTTAAGAAAACAAAACCAAACAAAAATAGTAATTTTCACTTCATGCCTAGCAAAACCCTTAAACAGTTTTTCCATATACAAACACAGAAGAATGTGCCATTAACAACTCTAAGAACCACTATATCAGTATCAAAAATGTTTATAACAAAGGAGCACCAAAGCCACCTATGACTACAATGACTATGCCTTTCCCAATTCATGTATGTCACTACTGTGAAAACACTCCAGCTGAAGGAAGAAGGACACAGCCTTGAACTGGCAAAGTTTAATTACTTTTTGATTGAGATTTACAAGGACTCAGTCTAGAGAAGCCTGAAGTGGAAGGAGAGAAACCTGTTGATGAGTCTTCATGAAACAGGAAGCACTCTGTATGTAACATCTGACATTAGAACTAAGAACGGCAAGAAAAAAACCCCACAAACTTGGTTTCACTTTATCCACTACCTGAATCAGGGATCTACCTGACAAAGATCAAAACAGACAGGAAAATTCAAGAGGCTCACAAGTGCTGTAATCAGGCAAAATATCTGTATTTATTTTAAACTTTGCATTTAAGACAATTATGCCTTTAAAATTAAAAATTACTTAACTGCAGAAACACTTCTCTCCCTCCCCCACTACAGAGGAATGGAAACAGACATTTCAGATGGAGGATTCCTTGTGCAGTAACAGTACTGCCGTGAGAAAACAAAAAAAAGCTATCCATTAAATTGTTTTAATGCTCCACAAGTCATTTGTTTGGACAGTGTCTTAGAATTAAATTTACACTTCCAGTTAAAGCATGCAACAACCGCCTTCTTTCTCCCCTGCTCTCCCTTGACTCTAAAAAGGGCTTCAAGAGCTTCGATAGATAAATCTGCACTTGTCAAGTTACCCAGAAAGTCTTGAAAAAAGGCAAAATATTCAGCCCCTCTTTCATACATTAACAGTTTCACACAAGTTGTTTTTTTTTCCCTGGAAGCCTGTACAAGCCATTCAACCAAGAACTTTGTCAGACATTTGAGGAAGCCAGGCATACATACACCTATGCATATTTGGACCAGACAGCTAACTCCTGCCTGGGAATATCCTAATGGACACCCTTTAAGTTTCACAAATTCTGCATTCCATAAAAATTTACTCAGTATAAGCCAACACAAAATAAGGAAAAAAAGCCCAACTTATGTTTCTTGTAACATAAAACACCTTGTTCTTTGGTAAGATGATAGCTCCTGCAAACACAGAAAGAATAACACCACTTCAACATGTGCAAGTCCAGACACTAAAAAAACCCCCAATCACAACCAACCAAACAACCAACCATCCCCCACCAAACAACAAAATCACATCACCCAAAGCCCAAAACAATCCTCTTCCCTCCAAACACCAAGAAAATTTAATCCCCAAGTTTCCCCTCTCTACCCGTATTAATTCTGATGAATTTTCCAGTTCACATTTCCATTTTGCACTGGCATCAGTCTGTTGTACAAAATGAAACCGTATCAGTTTTGATAAGCAACGGCACAATGAAGTTAATAATAGCACAGCTCATTTGTTTTGTTTTTTTTTTCCCCTGGAAGCCTGTACAAGCCATTCAACCAAGAACTTTGTCAGACATTTGAGGAAGCCAGGCATACATACACCTATGCATATTTGGACCAGACAGCTAACTCCTGCCTGGGAATATCCTAATGGACACCCTTTAAGTTTCACAAATTCTGCATTCCATAAAAATTTACTCAGTATAAGCCAACACAAAATAAGGAAAAAAAGCCCAACTTATGTTTCTTGTAACATAAAACACCTTGTTCTTTGGTAAGATGATAGCTCCTGCAAACACAGAAAGAATAACACCACTTCAACATGTGCAAGTCCAGACACTAAAAAAACCCCCAATCACAACCAACCAAACAACCAACCATCCCCCACCAAACAACAAAATCACATCACCCAAAGCCCAAAACAATCCTCTTCCCTCCAAACACCAAGAAAATTTAATCCCCAAGTTTCCCCTCTCTACCCGTATTAATTCTGATGAATTTTCCAGTTCACATTTCCATTTTGCACTGGCATCAGTCTGTTGTACAAAATGAAACCGTATCAGTTTTGATAAGCAACGGCACAATGAAGTTAATAATAGCACAGCTCATTTCACTGCTGCTGTTCGTACAAGTGTGGGAAACAGCTCTTTCCAGATCATCACAGTACATGCATTTAGAATGCATTTTGCTATACTCTTCAAATATTACTGGGGGGCCTGATGACAGATTTCTTTCTGCCATTTAGTATCTGCTATACTCTCCAAATATTACTGGGGGCCTGATGACAGATTTCTTTCTGCCATTTAGTATCACTTCTTAGAAGTTAATGTTGTTCATTATCCTCCAGAAAAATTTGCTAACTTAGATTTATGTTATCCATGTAAAGGCAAACAATAAATGTAGAAGAAGCTTCTGACAGAAAGGGGTTTTTTAAATTTTCAGGGCATTTTTTCTTCTGTTTAACAAATACAGGAGGTTTTGTTAATCAGGCTTATTTGTCATCAAAATGTATTTTCTAGTTCTAAGAATGATCAATCATTTCCAAAATCTGAGCGGAGAAAAGATATCATGTCCCTTGAAGTAAGCTGTAGCAAAAGAATAAGCAGAAAGACACAAATGCTATTATTTTAATGCAGTTGTACAGTCATTACTGGATTTAACAGTAGAAGTACATTTACATCCTCGAGGGTTTTTTTTAAACTCTCACAGGGACTAAGAACTATGAAGACTCTTCATGCCATTTATGAAAATTATAAAACTGAGTATCATGAAGACAAGGATGAGAAAAGATTAGCATAAAGTGGACTGTCAGAGATATGTGCAGTAGACTAGAGAGGTCTTCAAAAGGTACTACTATCTTCAGAGAAACAATAATTCAGTACTCAGGATAAAAATAGGTACTTTACCACAGCAGGAAAATTAGTAATTCAACATCAATAATTCAACCAGGAAAAGTAATTGCAGATGTAAGACATAAATTAAATTTAGTAAGTTCCAGTGACACATTTGTGCAAAAAACCCTTTGGTAATACTAAAAAAATTCAAAAGCTGAAACAAATGAGTTTCAATATTCCAGGCTCCAATCATTTCAAAATTTACGTCTATACTCCTTTTAACTACTTGAACTGCTCAAGATAACAAGGTAGCAGTGACCTTCATTAACGAAAGGACTAAAGTTTTGTCTAGTCTAAAACACCTCAGTAAAAAAAAAAAAAACACCCTTACTGTGCTAATCAAAGCAGTTCAATATACAGATAATTCTGGGAACAAATGATATACTGGTTGGCATTTCACCCACAGAGCAAGTAATTCACCCACTGAATCTGTAGAGAAAAAGCTGAGGTGGCACACACTCTCGTATTTGCTTCTCAGGGTACTGTGGTCAGACAAGTCTGTAGTAAAGCTGTTTGCTTCAGCCGAGCACAAAGGGCTGCGGAAGAACTTGGGCAAACATGAAGCAAACCCTGGATCACAGTAACACCAGACCTACTCCATCTTTCTGTTGAGTGACACTTCTCATCTACATAAAAAGGGGAGGCTTTTTAAAACAAGGGAGTGGAAAGTTCTGAGTAACTTTAAAAAGCACCTCCTTCTGAAAGCTACAACTCTACTGAACACAACAGGCAAACTGGAATAACTGGAAATTGAACAAGCAGAGGCACGTGGGCTGTGAGATCTGGAGTGCAGCTGAAGCATTTTGTTCAAGGAAAGGAAGGGGCTTTTTTTTTTTTTTTAAAAAGCTTCCCACTCAGGAATATAAATACAAACCTACTTTCTTTCTCAGCTTAGCAATCAAGAGTAACGATTCTATAACAAATAAATACTGAATCTAATATTTTTACATATAAGAGCTTTCCGCTTCTCCTATTCCTTCTACCGTACCTACTTCTCCAACTTTGCTGCTTTTTGTTAACATGGTTTCAGTAGTGCTTTCCCTTTCTCAAGAGGTATTAAGCTACATCCCAAATTTCCTTTAAAATCCTCAAAATAGAACCCACATTTTCCTGGAATCAGTTGTTACAGTTTTTCACTTCAGAGGTGGCTTTAAAGAAAAACCAAAACAAAACTCCCAAGCAGCAAATGCGAAAGACTACACAGAAACAATAACCCAAATTTGGTGAGGAGTGTCACGCCACGCACCTATCGGAAGGGATTAGTCTTGAACTACAACCATGACCAGCAGTCTCTGTCACTGCCAGAGGTTTCCGGTGCAGCTCCAGCATGTCACCGTTTCTGTGTCCCAGTTTCCAAATATAAAGTGTGATAGTTCCTACCTCTCCACAGGGATGATTAGTCACTCAGCATTTTACAGACTAGAACACTGTTAAAAGAGTAAGTACCAATGCCACTGCTAGAGGACAACAGCAATGTAACATAGACAAGGAGCAATACATGCACAATTCTTCAACAGTTTTGGAAACCAGGGATCAACAGAAATAAAACAACAGCACCCACCACTGCAACAGACAGATCTGCTCTAACACAAATTCAGCATGTTGTTCTCTGCCAGTTTCACAATAGGTTGCTAGCAAGATTCAGTTTCACTGGTGAAACAGCCTCATTTTTTATCTCCTCCCTTCTCTTTCACTATACATTTATCAGAAAGCTAACAAAAAACCACAAACCAGTATTTTAAAGAAAAAAATGCTAATAAAAAAGCTAACTAACCTGCTTGGTTTGCAGCAATATGATCACAACTAAGATAGAAAATGTGGCTTATGCTTCAAGTAAGGATTCAAAACTTTGACATGTGAGAGCAAATGCAGGACTATGATCCTATAATAAAACCAGAAGTATCTTTCTTTTCTTGACAGAAAAGCTGCTAAAAAAAAATTCCCTCTAACAACTCCTCTCTACCAGCTATTTAAAAGATTACAGAAGCCATATAAAGAATGAAGAAACTTTAAAGGCTGACAAAGGATATCTCAACTAAATATGCATGAACAAGGAAACAGAAGTTTTCAGGTCCCAGAAAATTC